GTATAGTATGGTCGAAAATGAGAGTCTAAAACCTGATTATGGTGTGTTAATATTCAAAACACTACCAGCTGTGCCACCGAATCTTCGTAGATTTGTATGTGTTAAATTTTATTTAAAAACTTTATATTCGTATTTGTATGTATTAAATTATATTTAAAGACTTTACCTAGGTCAGGTGATCCACCATTGTCTTTACTGGGTCCGCAACTGTTCTCAGCCTCCACAACCACGATTGTCTCGTACACCACGGTCCATAATATTTTTGGCTTTTTTTCATCAGTTTGATTAACCTTTTTTTTAGGAAGTGTAAGTAGATGAATCACCCATCTCAAAACTTGTAACTCATTGTTCGAAGGTAACCTTGTTGCTACCAAACACCATTCCTTGCATAGCCTCACTTGTTAATGAACTTGCTTTGGTAGGAGAAATTGAAATACTTACCATAGATGCAGTTTCTAAGGTAATAGGAATGATGGTCGAATCTGTAGTTAATTGAGTAGTTGCCGTCATATCCCTATATATGGTGACCTCAGAAACTTAAGTGGTGATTTGAAGTTGAAATTGTTCGAAGGTAGCCTTGTTGCTACCAAGCACCATTCCTTGCATAGCCTCACTTGTCAATGAACCTTGCTTTAGTAGGAGGAGTTGAAATACTTACCAATCTAAGGTAATAGGAGTGATGGTCGAATCTGTAGTTAATTGGGTAGTTGCCGTGATATCCCTACATATGATGACGTCCGAAACTTAAGTGGTGATCTGAAGTTGAAACTGTCGTAAAAACTTTGTGTTTTTAATGTAAAGTGTTAGCCTCTTAAAAAAATTCTAAAATTGCTCAGCAAGGTTCACGCTTCCATGAGCATGTATATATTGTAACATGTTCCTAAGATATTTAATGATCATGTGTATGTATAACATTTGATTGGTTGGTTTAGTTATGTCAAAATATTTTAATAGTAATCCGAAATTAGCATTCGTCATCTATTAAATTGCAAGAATACATTGCACTTTACATGAGAAAACAAATAAAAGATCAAATATGCTTTTTTAAAAGTTAAATAGATATATATTGGGATAACTGC